ACATACCTGCGTCTGCGCCCTCTCCTGGGCACCAGTCCGCGGAAGGGAAATCCTGGAGGAAGCCATTGTTAGTGTGATCATGTCCCTTGCTGTCGTCATCGTCTGAGGCGTGCCAAGTAGCCCCTACTCTCTCAGTAGGGCCTGGCAGTTCCTCCCCATTCTCCCTCTGTCGGGTCAGGTGGCTTGCTGGGGCTGAGGCTCACTTGGGCTGAGGCTCGGGCCTCAGAGCTCTAGAGCGCAGTGTCCCTTCTGCACTCCAGCCCTGAGGCTGTCAGACCTGGAGAGTCCCCAGGGGGTGCTGAGCTTCCCAAACCTATGGCGCCCGGCCGCCCGTGAGGATCCCGTACCTGGGGCCTTGGGTTTCACCTCGGCTCTGACAGGGGCCAATGAGGTGACCTTGGCAGTGGCTGCCTCTCTTGGGGCCTAAGTTTGCCATTCTGTGGTCTGAGGAGGGAGGAGCTTGGGGGGCACTTCAACCTCTAAGCGCTGGGAGGTTGAAGGGGGGAAGTCACTTCCTCCTTGGCCCGCCAGGGCTTTGGGCTGGCTTTGCTGTCTAGAGAAAAGCAAAACGCGGAGGAAAGGGTTGGCAGAAGCGCGGGGAAGGAGGGTACCAGACCCCTTCGTTCCTTCTCTCGCCCCGCTTCCTGGTGCAAAACGATCCCTTCGCTCCCACCGCCCGCAGAGCTTGGCAGAGCGTCGGTCTCCCCCGCCAAACAGGCAGCCCGACACCCAGCTTGCCTAATCCCTTTAAGCCTCACCTCCTCCGCGAAGCTCTCCCAGATTAACCCCATCAGTTCCAACCACTCTTATCTGTCAGGGGCTCCTGTTTTTGTTTTCCTTCTTCTTCTTCGCTTCTTTTGCTTTCTGGAGGTGTACACGCAGTCACACTATTTGGGACTATGCGTCCATCCCTAGAACCCTGAATTCTGATCCGGCAGGTGTGCTCCGCAGTATGGTCGATGGCTTCTTGCCTCTGCTCACCAACTACTCCCACCCCTTCACCCTCCCACATTCATGCTCACTCTCCCTTCCTACAGACCCTCCTCTTCACAGCCTGTTGCTGCATAGAGTGCGAGCCCGCAGCCACCCCCTTTTTTCTGCGCAGTGACTGGCAGGCGGGAGGAGTAGAGGGCATTGAGCATTCGAAGTGTCCACCCGAGGCTCGGCCAGAGACTTTGCTGTAAGTAACCGCTTCTCCTAGGAAAGTACTACTGGTGCGGAAGTAAGGAATTACCTGGCGACAAGCTGCCTGTACCTTTCTTCCAGGAATGGTGGCTTGTGGCTCCAGAGAGGCAGTAAGGCTCCAGGCGAAGGTGAGTTTCTCTCCTGTTGCCAGGGAGAGAATGCACACCAGATTCCAGACAGGGCCCTCCATTTCTCCCTGCTGCGTAACCTTGGACACTTTGCTTCTTCTGGGCTTCGGTTTCCTCATTAAACAATCAGGGTAATAATACACTGAAAGAGGGCAGGAAGCTTTTTTCGTTACTAGTATGTCTATGAAAATGAGTGATAATTCGCAACGTTGGCATACCATTTCTCCATCGAACTCTGAAATCTCCACAGAGGAGTCCCTGGCTGGAGTCCCTGGAGGTCTCTGGAGATAGGCAATGAATAAATATGCATGGGAGCTGGGGCCACCAGGTGACCAGGTTTCGTGGTAACGTCCCCTGAGTGGGCATGCCGGGGTCCGTGTTTCTGGGTGGAAGGTGGCTGCAGGAGGGGGCCTTGGAACATGTGGGCGGGGCTTGGGTTTGGGGCGGGGCTAACTGTGGGGGGGAGGGGTTATGAGAAGGGACATTCTCTAGAACCCCAGGCGAGGCCTACAGTGGCGCTCCCCCCCACTGCCCCTCG